CCACCTCCCCTCCAGCAACCCTCAGTTTCTTCCCTATAGTTAAGAGTCTCTTATGGTTGCCTCCCTCTCAAACTAATCATAAATGTGTGTATATCCTTACATTTGTTCTTTACCTTAGCATAAAATAGACATGTTATGCTTGAATGGGAAATTGTTTTATCTTCATGAAAATACTTTATAAAGATTAATTAAAGTTCAAATTAAAACATTTGGTTTTATAAAAAAAAAAAAAAAAGGGAAGGACCTATTGGGGGCTAGTTGGGGGGGGGTGTGTGGTCTGTGCACTGTTGAGCTTCCCGGGCCAGGCTGGTGGGCTCCCTGCCCCAGGAGAGCACCCGCCTGGAAGAGGGCCACAGGCCAGGCCAGGGTGGGCCCTTAGGCCCAGAGCCTGCACCAGGCAGGGGCTGAAAGGGTAGGGGACACCATCAGGATCGAGGCAGCCAGGAACCCTCAGATCCTCTGGTGCCCAAGCAGGGCTGGGTCCCCATTAGCTAGCCGTTCAAGCTCTAGGCCACTGACTTGCTGAGGTGGTGATGTCGGGAGTGGTCTCCGGGCCCAGATGCCTCTCTCTCCCCACCTCGGGCTCTCCTGGCCTCAGGCACCCTCCCTGGGCCCACACTTGGGCCTGCACACACAGGCTGATGGGTGGGCGACAGCGGCTCTCCAGGAGAGTCGATGTGTGTGTTTGTGTAGATGTGTATCTATCTGTATGTATGTATGCATGCATATGCACACACATAAGTAAGTTTTCAATTTTATTGATATGAAGGATGTAAATGCACGAGTGTGGTTCCCACATAAATGTCGGTTGCTATTTTCATTTATCTTAATGAGTAAGAGGAAGTGAAACAACAAAGGTATATGTGGGAACTTCCCATATTCATTGGTGACATGAGCCACACCTTTGCTGAACTAGGTCATAGTTTTTGATATTCGAAGAGTATCCTCTCCCGCCCCCTTTTTTTTGCTAGTCACAACGTAGTGACTACAGACTCAAGTTTACACAGTCAACCAAACAGTCATGGATCAAGGCCTGGTTTGTAGCGTATGCTGAGGCCCAGGGTGGTGTCAGTCCGTCCACCGGGCCAATTTCCGGCTACCCACACGATGTCATCGAATGTGAAGCCGGGAAGAGATTCACTATAGCTGTAATGTAGACTCCTACCAATGGATACGATAGGTGGGAGTCAATACATGGATAACAGTAAACTGGTGAAATAGGATGTGATGAGTTTTGAGTATCTCCTTTGTGGAAGTTCAGATAATTTCATTTTTTTTTTTTTAAAGATTTTATTTATTTATTTGACACAGAGAGAGTGAGAGAGAGAGAGAGCATAAGCAGGGGGAGTGGCAGGCAGGCAGAGGGAGAGGCAGGCTCTGTGCTGAGCAAGGAGCCCGATGTGGGACTCGATCCCAGGACCCCGGGATCATGACCTGAGCCGAAGGCAGACGCTTAACGACTGAGCCACCCAGGCGCCCAGATAATTTCATTTCTAATAATGGTGGTGTTTCACAATCAGCTCTCAAAATTCCTGAACATTTAACATCTGTTAGAATGGCTACAATATAAAAGGCTGCCCATGGCAAGTTTTGGCGATGAGGTGGAAGAACTGGTAGAAATGTAAGATGATACAACCACTTTGGAAAACAGTTTAGCTGTGTCTTAAAATGTTAAACGTGCACCTGCCACGATGACCCCGTGATTCCACTACTAGGTATTTACTTACCCAACAGAAATGAATGTATGTGTCCACACAAAGACTCACACGTGACTGTTCATGACAGCTTTATTCATAACAGTCCTGGACTGGACACAACCTCAGAAGGTGGAACAAAGCACGGCACATCCATGAGCTGCCAAGACACAGCACTCTGGGGGTGGGGGATACCCATGCTAAGTACGCTGTGTGAAAGGGGCCAGACCCAGGGAAACAACTCCGCCGCTCCAGCTCACCCTGGCCAGCCACCTGCCTGTCGTCAAGATGTGTCACTGGCTGATAAGCCACATCAGTGTCTGCCAATGGGGATGTGTCTGTGATCGGCAGCATACTCGGGGGACGTGACACAAGCCAATTGAAAACAGAATTATTCATGCAGAGGGACGAGAACCAAAATAACAAGGCCAGGAGCGTTTTCAGCTTGTCTTTGTGCAGGGAACAACGTGATGAGGACAAAGTCTGAACCAGGCCATGCATAAGCCTCAAGCAGAAAGCTGGAGACACGACACAGGCCAGCCCTCCTGCCATTGTTTCTTCAGGGAAGCCACTGGATGTTGGCGTTTTCTGCAAGCGATGCCTGGCCTCGTACAGAATTCCTACAGGGCAGACAAGTGTCTGCAAAAGAGTTTCATGCTGTGGACCCCTGCCCCTGAGAGCAGCATCGGCATTGTGGGGACCCTGTTTTCTGCACCTCAGCTCATGCACGTGCACCCCCCCTCCCCACACATCCCTCCCCATTCACAGACCCACCTCTACTCACACCCACACACCAACTCACGGGTGTGCAAACACACCCCTCACAGATGCCCCTCTCACACACTTAGATGCACCTCATTCACACACATGTGCTTATGATTCTGCATAAAAGGGGTCTTATTAGAAGCTGCTTTAAAAAATCATAAGCACCTCTTTCTTGTGTTAATGGTCTATAAAGTCAGTTTCCTCTAAGGTAAACTGCCATAATTTTTTTTTTTTAAAGATTTTTTATTTATTTATTTGACACGGTGAGAGAGGGAACACAAGCAGGGGGAGTGGGAGAGGGAGAAGGAGAAGCAGGCTCCCCACTGAGCAGGGAGCCCAATGCGGGGCTCGATCCCAGGACCCTGGGATCATGACCTGAGCCGAAGGCAGACGCTTAACCGACTGAGCCACCCGGGCGCCCCCTAAAGTGCCATAATTCTGTTTCTTCAGTGTTTGCAAGTGGTATCTCCTTTCTCGTTTATACATTCCGTTGGTCTTTTCAAAGAAAAAACAGGATTTTGATTTATCCTTTTTCCTTTTTTTGTTTTCTGCTTCATTAACTTTGG